AAGCTATCGTATTCCTAAAGTACATGGCCAGATGATTTCAATAGAATTCATAAGTAATACAGAATCAAACCTTATATACTCATTATGACTAATATCATTCTCAAGCATTATATTCATCCTTTTAATTATAATGCTGTTATTACTTGCAAATATTTCACCATAAACTCACAAAACAAAATATCGGTATCTCATCTAGAACTCTAAATCTTGAAGAATCATATTTATCCACATAGTTCAGGCCATTAATACTGCAAATCAAGTAAAAACAGCAGAAGTCATTATTTCTTGAGTTTCTGCATTCCTTGATGTACATTCCTTCTATATGTTATACTCTATACAAGCCAAAATCATCAGCATAATCTAATACCAGAACTAGGATTTCTCAACAAATAGACAAAAAGAAAGACAAGACTTTCATATAAACAACTGGAATATCTAACCCATGCTCTTCCCATATCTCTCAACCATTCAACTGCTTACCGATAAAGCTTTATGTTATAATTCCCATAAAAGGGGAGTAAAGTAATTTGTGATTTATCAAAAACATTAGTTCATGATTTTATGAGAAGCACATATCACATACAAAGGACTAGCATCAGTCATTTTTAAATGAGCATGTTAAAAACATTTTAGCAATATTTTCAAGCAAACAGATTTACATTAAATAACAGTTATATTGATTTATAAAAAGACAACATATGCAATGTGAGAACATATGCAATTCATAAATTGTAAGATACATTTTTACATTACCTAAGATTTACAGTACTTTGTGACAAGATCACCTCTACCTTTCAGTTCTGCAATCACAATAAAAATATACACCACAATGTTCTTCTCTACTGTATCTCATTCAGGAGTACAACTAAAGTTAAACAGCTTAATACAACCATTTTTATAACAATGATGGGAAAAATATTTTAGATTTGCTTTACTGATATCAGGTACAATGAATGCAAATCAACAAAAAAATGAAATGCTACCAACATTGCAGGAGAGGTATTAATACAACCTATTTAACAAAAGCTTAACAATATAATAAAATGAAAAAAATAAAAATAAAATCTTGGTAATGATATCAATATAATCAATGTACATTGATCAATATCTTTTTGAAAATAAACACTTTATTTAAATAAGCTGTATCGGTCACTTTCTACCCTTAAATTTCCTACAGCCTGAGAATAACCTTTTATTAATATTATCATAGGTAACAAAATATCCTGAAAAAGAGGGAGAGAAATGCATATCTTAGAACTTCTGATGAACATTTGTATATGTGCAGCAATCAGCTTGAAATTTCATCACATTGTTGGCTGAATATGTCCTTGAATACTCACTCTGCTGTCCAGTCACTTCCGCAGCTGTCTCTGCCTTAGTCATACTATTTCACTTGGACTTTTTGTTCCCCATAATCTGAGAGAAAAAATGGGTATTAACTCCTTAACTTACTAATGAAGGGGAAAATTTATATAGCACTATCTTATACATTTGAGAGTTGTTAATCAAATAACGGTATATGAAATACTGTTTGTTATAAGTAAGACCTTAAATCAGTAATACAGTATTATTATGCAAAATGACAGACAGTCAAAGTCCAGTTCAAATCCTACTTTCTAGCAGTTAAAAATCCAAAAATGCACAAACAAAATTTTATTTACATAATTATAAGCTGGCAGAAATGTACCCAAAAATGGCATATGGAAAATATGATAGTGCCTAAACACAATTTACTCCTTTATTTCATAAGGTCTTATATCCTTAGGTACATGCCTAAACTTTCTTCATCCCTTTTAAGCTACAATCTAATTATCTAAATGCCTATAGTAGGATACTCTGAAGAATATATAATCCTATTTGGCAGCTCAATGCCTACATTGTAATAGTCTTTCAGTTTTTTTAGTTGCATATTTACTTCTTTATCATTATCATATGTTGAAATATCAATATTTATAAAAATAACTACGGAGAATTAATTGATCAATTTGCACCAATAGATAGATAATGAATCAATCAAAGTGAAACATCTACAAAATAGCTATGAATGGGATTCTTTTTTCATGGTATTGTCTGTCATTTACAATATATTGTCAACTTGCAGTTGCACTGACAGTTGTATACTGAGTAGTTATTGAAAATTGCTTTTAAAAAAATAAATATATATTCTGTGAGTACATTTTACAAGGATATTTCTCAGGAAATCAATTAAATGCAAATATATCAACTTCCAATGGTTGATTGGACATACATTAATAATTCAGCATTAAAATCAATAACTAGGTAAACATCAAATTAAAAACAATAATTACAAGAACAATTATAACAATTTAGTAGATGAGTTGCCAACTAGTATTGCATATCCTGCCTTGAATCTTACAGCATTTTGTGTTCTTTGCCATTCAGTATCCTTTACCTGTCACCTTTCTACATGTCTGAAAACTTTTTATTGAACTTCATTACAACTGTGCATCTTAACAAATCCAATGTATATTTTATATGA